ATATCACGTGATAAGATTGGAAATGCCCATATTCAGAACATTAACGCATACGGCTGAAGTCAATGAATTAGCACCGAAATTCAAAATGATATTGTTTGCAACTTATCTTTATTTATTTTTAATAATATTCATTTAAAATATAATTCAATCAATAACAGGAACCACATAAATAAAATTCTAAAACTAACGCAAGTCTCAAAAAAAAAAAAAAAATTTATGAAACTTCAAAACCATGTGCGTGTTTATTTATTCATTCCGGATCTAGAATAGATCGCATTTCAGACTTCTACCAAGTAGTTTTAACTTAGTTTTACGATATAGCAAAACGAGTGGGAAAACGATTTTTCTTTACGATATTTTGGAAATTTTACATTTTTATTAAATAATATGAAGTTTGAGCAACCGTTTATGAAATGTTTACTATCATTGCATGCTTATGCAAAAGCAGGTGTTGTTTTCTTGTTAATTGTGTAAAAGAGGCAGATCACAACCGCAGTGCTGCGAAGTCGATGATTATCGAAAGCAAACACATTATTAGAATCGCAATACGCATTCAACTTTCATCTTTCGATTCAAATGAATCGCTCTCTTTGTAAATTTCAATTTGAAATCTTTCAATTTTATCAAAATCACGCTCAATCAACCTAATTTTTACATATTTCGTCTTTTCTTCCTTAATTTAATAAAATACTTCTACCTAGTTACGACCTATTTACAGCTGTTGCTCAAACTAAATTTTAAGTTGAATGTTATACGGTTGACAAACGGGCTCGATTATTTGCATTAACAGCCTTTATTATTTGCTTTGACTCGTGCATTTTCCTCTTTAAAATGCGCATAAGCAGCCGAACAAATGCACGAAATTTTTGGGAATTACCTCGGATCCGGGCAGTAGTCGTTGACAACACTGGTAAAAACGGCCAGCTGTTGTCTTTTGTACAAGTAAGCACACAAAGCGAGCGAGTTCCGCGTCCGTGGTAACCGAGTGGTAAGAGTTACGGGCTGCAAGCCTGTAGCTGCCAGGTTCGATCCTCGGTTGGAGCGATTTTTTTGTTTTTATTATTTATTTTATATATATTTTTTTCATTTGCTCTATATATTTAATTTTACTTTATTTTGTTTTCATTTGCTTTATTTTATATCACATTTTTTATTTTATTATTACTTAATTTAAATTTTTAGAGTTGAATTTTAATACAAAGTCAACAACAACTAACTGAAAGCAATGTAAAAAAATATAGAACTTATAAAAAAAAGAATGAAAACGAAATAAATGAAAATTCAATTGGCATAAGCTTTGCCGTCTGTGACAGCTTTTAGCTAGATAAGTCGAAACTAATTCGACTATGAATTCCATTAGCAGTAACTTAGAATATTTTCGATTTAGTTGGAAACTAAATATGAATATGAATGCACCAATCTTTTTGGTCTTCTACTAGATATCTAGTGAATATCCTCATTAAGTTTTGCTTTTATTTTCAAATTGTATGGCGCCTAAACTGTGTTCGTAAATGGCTCTATAAGTTGTCGCAAAAAATGTATATAGTACGTAGTTAACGCAGAAATGGGACGATATGTAGTTACATATTTTATAAAAAAAAAAAATATTACTTAAGGTCATTGTTTAATATTGTAGACAATAATTATACAAAACTTCTTTTCTCAAAAAAATACGCTTTTTGTCCACATGTGGTGCCATTAAAATGCAACACTGAGAGCGCGCGGCAGGAACGAGTTGGTTAAGAGTATTACGATATTACGACGTACAAACCGAGCCGACTGCTGCAAATATGTTGATTTCAGCTATCCAAAGTAAAACGTCCGGGAACCAAACGAACTTACGTACTTTCGACTCGTCTCGATTGCGTGGTGCGGATACTTTGCAAGTATTTAATCTTAACTGTGAAATTGTGAAAATTAATTAATAAAGTTTACAATAATTGTTACTTAATATGTAAGCTAGCACTGTGCTAAAGTGAAATATTAAAAATTTAACTATACGCTGTGTAATATTAAATATAAAACCACGAACTATGTATGAAAAAATCCATTGAATTCGTCTTTTCGCGTTGCACAAAATCTCGCACAAGTATCTGCTAGGCGAACGCGAGTGTGACGGGCACAAAGATACACGGCCATGCATAAAGGATTTTAATGCGATAGTAAGAGATAGCTAGTGTGACAGCACAATAGCA